AGTTCAATCTCATCTTCTTATACTAAGAAAAATAAAGTGCACAGACTTTAAATTTTCATTTGAGTTTTTCATAAGAAAATTTAAAATTTTTGTTATTTTCATTAATATTTTTCCTGAAATTTATTAAATATTGCTTGTAATAAATACCAAGATGCTTGGAGACCTACTTTGCCTCAGTCTCCAGGCTTAATAATAAAATAAATTAAGCTTCCTACCTAACCATTTTCTCCTTATTTTTCTGGTTTCAGGAATGACTTTAATGTTCTGATAACTAGAAACAATGGTCCCACCAAATGGAATGAACAGCAGTGCCACATTCACCCTCTCTGGCTTCTCAGATTACCCAGAATTGCAAGTTCCCCTCTTCTTGATATTTCTTACCATCTACAGCATCACGGTGGTAGGGAATATCGGCATGATCCTCATAATCAGAATTAACCCCAAACTGCACACCCCCATGTACTTCTTCCTCAGACACCTCTCCTTTGTGGATTTCTGCTACTCCTCCATCATTGCTCTCAAGATGTTGGTGAACCTACTTGCAAAAGACAGAACCATTTCCTTTTTAGAGTGTATAATACAGTACTTTTTATTTTGTACTTTTGTGGTAACTGAAGCGTTTTTATTGGTGGTGATGGCCTATGATAGGTTTGTGGCCATCTGTAACCCCTTGCTCTACACAGTAACCATGTCCCAGAAGCTCTGTCTCACTCTGGTGGTGGGATCCTATGCATGGGGCTTCACGTGCTCTGTGACACTGACATGTTCTCTTGCACAATTGTCTTTTGTTGGTGTCAACACAATTGACCACTTCTTCTGTGAATTTTCTTCTTTGCTCGCCCTCTCTTGTTCTAACACACAAGAGACCCAGCTACTGCTATTCATTTTTACCACATTTAATGCGGTCAGCACACTCCTGCTCATTCTCTTGTCTTACCTGTTCATTGTTGTCACCATTTTGAGGATGAATTCAGCCAGTGGACGCCGCAAAGCCTTCTCCACCTGTGCCTCCCACCTGACAGCTATCACCATCTTCCATGGTACCATTCTGTTCCTCTTCTGTGTGCCCAACTCCAAGAACTCCAGGCTCACAGTCAAAGTGGTTTCTGTGTTTTACACACTCATTATCCCCATGTTGAACCCCCTGATCTACAGTCTGAGGAATAAAGATGTTAAAGACACTATCATCAAAGTAATGACCATGATTCCCTGTTACAGATGTAGTTGTAGTTATATATAGTTATAGTTGAAATTCTTAGATAGTTGGAGATTAAACATTTTGTCATTAAGCATAATATTGTCATGAGGTGTTTCTTGTATATGTAAGTTGTCATTATGTGTAACTCAAATATATTTTTAAATTTGTAGAGAGAATTTTGTACACTGGTAAAGTAATGGATTTTTGTTCAGAAAGACAATACTTGCTTCTTTTTTTCTGGAAAGTAATGATTTCTCTTTTTTAAACATTTCATTGAAAATCAGGTTCTTGTTAAATAGTTAAAAATATGCTAAATAAAATTAGAGTGTCTCATCTATGCTATTTGGAAAGTCAACAAATATTATTATTTAGAAAAGTCAATAAGTATTAGTCTATCCACTCTTATTAGCAGATTCCTAGAACATATTAATAAAGGGTAAACTTTCTTGCATAACATAGCAATAATAATGAATATAAGACTTAGTGCTCACCTTCAATTGATTGTATGGCTAGGAAAAAATGTGTTCATTGCATGATATAGAGAATATTTTCCATAAATTTTGATGTAAGGAAATATTGAAATCTATTGGTAGATGAATAAATCCCTCAAATATTTATTATTAAAAATCTATCATGTAACATTGCATAGGTGTCGGGAGCTGCTAATCATTGAGCTGGCAGCCTCCTTTACTGAGTTTGTGTCATGCAAACCAGTACTTAACTCCCATTCAGGAGGAAGGTGTTTCTGGAGAGCCTCACAATACCTGACCTTGAGGCAATAGTGGTAAACAAAAAGATTAAGGAAGCCTTTGATCTGTCCACTCCCTGACCCTCAGATACAGGTGGGGAAAAACAGCTGTTGTAACTAATTGAGTTCTTCTGTATAGAAAGGCAGAGCTGAAATAAACCAGGGCTGCAGTATTCACTGTCAGTCCTCCCAAGCATCATCTTTCCTGTCTTCTTTTCTTTCTTTCAATCCTCACTCCCCCTTTCAGGTACTGTCCATTTTGGCCGGCTGGCACCGGCACATAGGTAAATTTTTCATATAACTTTTAGAGAGGAATGGGTTTTTAAATATAAACTAAGCATGAAAGAATTTTGGTTATGTATCAATAATCAAAAGCTGTTTGGGGGGTTAAGTTGGTGTAATTTGTGTGTATTTGTATATGAGTCTGCTTGTACTTTGAAGGAATATAAATTTAAATGTATATTTCAATGAACTTTAAGGAATCTCAAGTGTAGTAGTGTGATCATCTATGATAGCTCTACCTATAGTTGAAAGGAAACCTGACTTCAGAAACTGTGAATTATATAGTCCTGTTCTAGCTATATTTTATGCTACTGTTGTGACAAGATTCAGCAAGCTACTGAAAGTTGCAGTATTCGGATTTTTCCTTAAGGCTATATGAGCAGGAACAATGCCTGGGTGAGGAGACTCTTATTGTAGAAGCTGCTTGAAATGTTTGCATGAAATTTAGAGACACAGTTTTTCTGAGTACTCACTCTTGCTGGGGTGGACTTTTCAGTGACACAGCTGTCTGTGAGTCCCTCAGGCTAATGGAAGTTAACCCTTCATCACAATCCTGCATATAATACCAATATGCTCACTGTTATACTAAAGTTGATTAAGGTCAATTATTTCTTCAGTTTATTATCACTGCCTCCTACAGGTGAATACAAGTTTGCTCACATTTCCCTAGGAAAAGAAACAAAAATTTTACATTTACCTTTTCCTGTTTAAATCTCAGCACATTCCCCTTCTTCATAATAGTCAATAATTTGATTATCATTCAAAAAGATGGTTTCACTGTGGTATTTTCATATACACTATTATATTTTTTTTTCTTATTTTCCCAGGAGAGATCCTGGGGTATCACCAGTTTGAGACTATCCTGATCTACATAATGAGTTCAACTCAAGCCAGGAATACACACGAACATCCTGCCTCAACTCTTGCACCCCAAAATAAATAATCTGGGAAAGCTATAACAGTAACAGGGAAGGAAGAAAATAAATAGTAATTATTCAGACAATCAGAAAATCAAACAAAAAAAACACAGGAAATAGCAAACCCACTGCAAAAGTATCCTTAAATGCAAATAGATTAAATTAATCATTTAAAAGACTGATTAGAACACAGTAACTGGGGCTGTACTGATGACTCAGTGGCTAATAGCCCATGCTCCACAAATAATGGAGTTGGATCCCAGCAACTAGGCACCAAGCCTTCCAGCCTAGCAAACACCTTTAATCCCTTCTTCCAATGGATGGAGACAGGAGGACCATTGGGAGCTGAATGTCTTACTGTCTAGCCCAAACACAAGAGCAGATACAGAAAAAGAGCGTATCACAGAGAAGCAGGTCCATGGAAATTGGAAGTCCTATTCTCGCCTACACACACACAAACCACACACACACACACACACACACAAAAAAAAAAAAAAAAAAAAAAAACCACAGGCCCAAACATACACAGACACATACAAAAACATATGCAAAAAACAAGTAAATCAATAAACAAAGTGAATTTAACCAAAAACCAAAAACAAAACCCAGCTCTAAGTTTTCTTCAAGGAACAAATCCAATGACAAAGATATCTAAAAAATGAGAATTCCAAAAAGGAAACCAACCTATCAAGCCAATGAACTGAAACAGATAATAGCACATCTTGCAAAGTAATCTTCAATCCAAAACTATTTAGAAGTACAGAAAACTACTTATATTAATAAAGAGAACATTCATTAAGAATATATAAATATGCATATTTAAGCAGTAAATGATATATTTCACAATTAAAAGACTACCCTTTCATAGATATGAAAGAACAGAGAATTTTGATACAGCACAGTAGGAGACCAACAAAGTCTAAAAATCTTGTAAGAAACTTCAGATGTTTAACAGTACCGTAGACAATTTGATTTAACATACCTCACCCATTCAATTAGGGCAAGATTCACTTGTTTTTGCTTCAGTCATCTCATTTTTGAAGGTGACATAAATTATTGATTACATTCAATTTTATAAAGATGGAATTTGTTAATAGTTATTTAAGTATAGTACTTGCTACATGGGAGGGACACAGAAAATGTAAGCAAAAACTATCAATAAGTGATATAGATTACAACTCTTTTTCCTTGCTTAGAAAATCACTGTGGTGTTTTCAGATCCTTTATTGTGTGTACTGGGCTGTCAGTCATAGTATTAACCTGTCTTATGATGTCTACTCACATATTCCATATGTTGTTTAGCAGATCATCATAAAAATTAATCTAAATTATGTTATATGATACAATGAACCATGTTTAAATTCCTCCAATTTATATCCCATAATGCTAAGAACTCTTTGAATTTCAAGACGGAGTAATTCTCTTGCTCTCATGTTGATATCCCACAGAGACTGGTGCTTGTTTTGAGAAGTTTAAGGATAATTGGCCTCGGGATATTCATTCAAACATACAAACTATGAGACTTCCTGTAATGAGAGTTTCAGGAGAAGGGTGAGCAACGTGATATCTCTTCCACAGGTTGGTTGGTTGTAATTGATGTTGCAAGTACTTTGTGGTGATGATTAGAATAATATCGATGGGAGCTAGAAACTTGAATTCCATTCTTTATGGAAGAATTTTAATATATTGATATTTAGGAAAAGAAGAATTTGTAAAAAAGTGCTTTAACACTAAAAATCTTTAAACACTTTGTTTTATTTCTCCACTAAAGTACACACAGGGAAATATCATGCATATTTAGGAAAATACACTCCTTCTTTGGAGAGAGTCATCGTCTGTGGAACTGGTAGCAACTTAATCTTCAGAACCACATATTCTCCCTCTGATCTAAGACAGAAGCAACATGCGCAAATGGGGAAAGCTGGCTTCTCGGTATATTTTTCTTCTCTCACACTAACTTCACTTTTGCCATCTGCCTGGAGATTCTGTTCACAGCTAACCAAAGGGTCAGGGTGGCGCTGGGAGACTGTTAGAGGTGTCCATGCAGGAGCACAGACATGTGAGCCTCCTTTGAAGCAGAGAAGTGAGGACTAATTTTCAGTTTGTGAGAATCACTCACCTGTCTCTCTAAAGCAGGCTTCCCAGCTGAGGTTCCTGTGACAGTTTAGTCTAGATCATATTTTGTTCGTTGTGTTATGATGTTAGTGTGAACTGTCAAGTGCATTGTGGAGTTCAGCAGCCTTCACAGTACATTTCAGCATAAAGCTCTCCCGACTGTAATAGGGGAAGGTGCCTCTGTGCACTGACATGTCCTATGTTGAAAATTTCTCTATTGATAAAGAGTCCATGTATTACAGGCTATCAACAGTCCAATTTTTCATCACTATCTTTGGTAATGGAAAAGCACTTCAAAAGTTATATTTACATTTGACTTCAGGAAAAGCCAAGTCATTTTTCTTGTCCATTAGAAAAAGAAAACCTTAGAGTCAAAGGAATTGTCTGTGTCCAGATGGAGGTATATTAATGAAAATATCAAGCATATTTTTAAATCAGTTGAGAAATTGAGTTAAACTTGTTTCAGATGATCTTTATACTTTGTTCTTTCACAAAGATCAACTTGGTGACTTTTATTATGGATGTTTCTATCAAGGTTCAAGGCTTGACTGTAAATACAAGCGTTTTACCTTCTCCTTGATCTTATTATGTGTAATAACATGAAGATATTGTTCCCTCATTAATTTATTGAAAGAATTCCATGGTATCAAATATATCTTATAAATTTACTTTTCATAAGAATCAAGGTAAGATTATAGTTCCTTCTATTAAAACATAGCATGAATAAAAGTATTTATGCTATAAGGATAAAATGCAGAATGCAACATGTATGTTCTCTCTCTCTCTCTCGCTCTCTCTCTCTCTCTCTCTGTGTGTACAAAATTTTCCAACCATTTTCAGTTTTCTATTTTATTTCTAAATTTTATCACCATAAGTAATTTATAACTTTCAGTGAGTAATTTTCTTAATGATACTCTGTGTTCATTTTTGATGTTTTTTTTCCTATACATTCAAATAAATTCATGGTAGAGTTTTAAAAA